GGAAACAACTATGCTGCCTAGCAAAAGAGGACTGGATTAAAAAAAATGTGGTACATATACATGATGGAATACTACCCAGCCATAAAAAAGAAGAAAATCATGAATTTTGCTGCAACCTGGATGGAACTAGAGTCTGTAATACTGAGTGACCTCTCACAAAAACAAAGATCCGAATATCACATGTTCTCACTCATATAATGGACCTTGAATATCCAATGCAATACTATAAGAAAATGACTGATGGTACTGGGAAACTATGGGGGGGAGGGAGATGGGATTAACAGTAGCAAATATCTGTCGGGGGATGGGAAAACACTTCTTATCTACAGGGTGCCTGAATGAAACGTCATTTTACACCTAACCCTTAACTGTACCCCACAAAACCATAATAAAAAATACTGATTAATGAAAAAAAATGGGATAGACTCAGAATGCTTAGGTATGGTATTGACTTAGTCACTTTAAGCAAGTAACTTGCATGCCCTGTGCCTCCAACCCTCATCTCTCAAATGGAGATCATTTTAGTACTTACCACACTGGGTTGATGAGAGGCTCAAACAAGATATTGCATGAACAGTGAATAATATAGTACCTGGCACATAGGAAGCCCTCAAGAAATAAAGCAGCTAGCACCAGCATTAGTATCATTATTACAAACTGATTGGTGAAGTAATATGACAGACTTTGAAGGGAAAGTTAGTGGTATCCAATCTTATTTCTGGAAATGTCTTTGAAAGAAATATGACATATGTACAAAACTTTTGTATAAGAGTGCTCATATAACCTTGTTTTTAATGGTAAAAATGTGTTATTTACCTAAATAGCTACTGACAGGTGACTGGTGCTGTGGTACAGGCACATACAAGTCCAACATCCCGGAGTGAGATTACAGATGCCAGTACCTCTCATATCCTGTTCTGATGGACGTTGGTGCCTGGATCTGGAGGGAGGTAAGCCCAAATCCTCTGTGCCTCTGCTTTTGACCCCACAGGTGTGAGAGCTACTTATCTCAGGGAGGAGCTCTACATTAGGCACAGCAGGTCTGCATTAGGTGCAAGAGTCCTACTTCATGTGTGGAAGCCCTTTGTCAGGTGTTGAGGCTTCTCATCAGGCAGACAAGCTCTTCATGAGGTACAGAAGCTTGCCATCAGAGCAGGATCTATTGATCATGTGGGGGATTTCTTCATCAGATGCCAGAACTTTTTCTCAGTTTCAGAAGCTCCACTCAGGCTCCAGGACTCTACATAAGGTGAGGCAGCTCCCCCTCAGGTACAGGAGCTCTCCTTGAGGTGCAGGAGTTCTTCAGATGCAGAGCTCTTCCTCAGGTATAGGAGCTTTCCCTCAGGTTCAGCACTCTTATTCAGGTGCAGGGGGTCTCTGTCAGGTGCTGGAATCTTCCTCAGGTGCAGGTGCTTTCCCTCAGGTGTCGGGTTATCTCTCAGGTTCACAGCTCTTACTTGGGTTTAGTTAACTACCTTGGGTGCAATGCTCTTCTCCAAGAGCAGGAGCTCTTCATAAGGTGCTGCATTTTTTCCCTCAGGGTCAGGGGCTTTTTCTCAGGTGTAGGTCTCTTTCTTGGGATTAGCATTCTTATTCAGGTGTATGATCTGTCATGTACATGATCTCTTCATCAGGAGCTAGACTCTCCCTCAGGAGCAGGGAGTCTCCCTCATGTGCAGAACTCCCCCTTACGTGCACTGGCTTTCAGGTGTGGGGGCGCTCCCTCAGTGGCAGGGCTCTTCCCCGGATGCAGGGCATCTTCCAGGTGCAGAGGCCTCTCCTTAAGGTGCAGGAGCTCTTTCTCGAGTGCAGGAGCTTTAAATCAGGTGCAGGGCTCTCCCTTAAGTGCAGGGGTTCTTCATCCCTCAGTTAAAGGAGCTTTCACTTAGGTAAAGAGACTCTTCATCAGGTACTGGCTCTCCCTCAGATTCAGGTTCTCTCTCAGGTGCAGGCATGCTCCCTGAGTTTCAGCATTATTACCTAGGTGCAGGAGTTCTGCCTCGTGTGCAAGGTCTTTTCATCTGGTGCAGGGACCACCTACAGGTGTAGATGTTCTTTATCAGGTGCTGGACTCTTCAGCAGGTCCAGGGCTCTCCCTAAGGCACAGGGCTCTTTCTCACATTGAGGGCTCTTCCTTAGGTGCATGGATCTCCCTCAGAGAGAGGGGCTCATCCTTAGGTGTAGAAGCTGTTCCTCAGCATTAGCACTCTTACTCAGGTACAGGCCTCTCTTTCAGGTGCAGGTGTCTCCCTTGGATGCAGGGCTCTTTCTCAGACATAGGACTCTCCCTTGGGTGTAAGTGTTTTTCCTCTAATGTAGAGCTCTCCCTCAGGTGCCAGTGCTCTTCATAAGGTGCATGGCTCTTCCTCAGATGGAGAGACTCTCTGTTCATGTGCAGGGGCACTTTTTCAGTTGCTGGGCTCTCCCCCAGGTTCAGGGGCTCTTCTAAAGGGCAGAGGCTTTCCCAGGTTCACAAGTTCTTCATCAGGCACAAGACTCTTCCCCAGGCTCAGGGGCTATTCATCAGGTACAGTGCTTTCCTTCCTGTTCAGGGCTGCTTCTCTGGTGCAAGGGCCTCCCTTAGACAGAGGCATTTTCTCTCAGCTGTAGGAACTCCCTGTCATGTTCAGTACACTTATTCAAGTGCAGGACTCTCCTCATGTGTAGGGCTTTGCCTGAGGTTTAAGGCTGTCCCTCAGGTGCAGGGATCTACCTTCCTCAGCTAGCAGAGCTTTCCCACAGATGTAGGAGCTCTCACTCCAGGTCACTTCAATTGGGTGCTGGGTTCTCTTTCAGTTTAGGACTCTTCATTGAGCAGAGGGCTCTTTCTCAGTTGCAGGGATCTCCCTCATATGCTGGGTTCTACCTCAGGTACAGTGGCTATCTCTTAAGTTTAGTGCTCTTCCTCAGGTGCATGGCTCTCTCTCAGTTGCAGGAGGTCTCTCTTAAGTGCAGGGACACACTTCCTCAAATGTATGGCCTGTCTCTTAGGCGCAAGCCTCTTTCTTTAGTGTGGGGCTCTCCAGCAGGTGCTAGGGCTCTTCCCTAGGTGCAGAATTCTCTCTCTGGGGCATGGCTCTCCTTCAGGTGCGAGACTCTACCTCATGTTCAGAATTCTTCCTAAGAAGCCAGGTTCTTCCTTATATGCAGGGTGGCTCCTTCAGGTGGCGGGAGTCTCATTCTTATGCTGGGGTATTTCTTTAGGTGCAGGGCTCTACCCCATGTGAAGGACTTTGGCAGTTCAGGGGCTCTTCATGAGGAATGGGGTTCTTTCCCCATTTGTAGGGGCTGGACTCCTTCTTAGGGGCAGGGGCTCTCCTTCAGGTGCAGGCACTCTTTCAGGCACAGGGCTCTTCCCCAGGTGTAGGGCACCTTCATCAGGTTCTGGGCTCTTCCTCAGTTGAAGGGTTCTGTCTCAAGTGCATGGATCTTTTTAGGGTATATGTCTCTTTCTTGGATGCAGGGACTCTCCTTGATGTGCCAGGGCATTTCAGGTGCAGAGCTGCCACTCAGGTTGATGGTTTGTTTTCCTTGTTTGGGAGCACTTCCCCAGGGGCCAGGGCTCTCCCAGGTGCAGGGACTCTTCAAAAATTGCAGGGTACTTCTCCAGGTACAGAGTCTCTTCATTAGGTGCCTGTCTTTTCCTTAGGTCCGGGGGCTCTCTGTCAGGCAAGGGACATCTCCCTGTGGTGCAGCAATTCTTCCTCTTATTCATCACTATTACTCAGGTGCAGGAGAGCTTCCTTGTGTGCATGGGGCTCTTAATTAAGTGCTGGACTTGTTGTCAGGTGCAGGGCTCTTTCTCAGGTTTTGGGCTCTCCTTAAGGTGCAGACTCATCATCGGGACCGGGCTGTCCTCAGGTGCAGGGATTCTCCCTCAGGTGCTGGGGCTCTTATCCAGGTTTTGGACCCTCCACAGGTACAAGTGCTTTCTCAGGTGCAGGTGTCTCCCAAATTGTAGGGATCTTCTTAGGGGCAGGGACTCTTCATAAGGTGCTGGGGTTTCCCTTAGGCATAGGAACTGTTTTTAGGTGCAGAGCTCTAGTTGGATGCAGGGTTCTTAGTTAGGTGCAGGAACTTCTTCTCAGAGTTGGGTCTCTCCCTAAGTGCAGTGGCTTCCCATCAGGTGCAGAATATTTCCCTCAGGAGCAGGGGCTCTTCATAGGGTTCTGGACTCTCCCTCAGGGACAGGACCTCTCACTCAGGTGCTGAGATCTCTCACAGGTGCACGGGTTCTTCATCAAGTTCTAGGCTTTCCCTCAGGTGCAGGAGTATCTTTCAGGTGCAAGGCTCTCCTTTAGGGGTGAGGTTCTTGCTCTTTATTAGGTGGTGAGCTCTGCCTCAGGTGCAGGGCTGTATCTGGTGCAGGGCTCTCCCTCTGATGCTTGCCTGTTCCTCAAGGGCAAGTCTCTCTCCCTGATGCAGGAACTATTCATAGGCTGCAGAGTTCTCCATTAGATGCAGGGGCACTCCCTCAGGTGGAGGGAACTCTCCCTCATGTTCAGGAGGACTTCCTCAGATACAGGGCACCCTCTCAAGAGAATGCTCTCTCCCAGTGCAGGGGTTCTCCATCAGGTATAGGGGCTCTTCCTCAGGTGCTGAATTCTTTCTCAGGTGCAGGAGCTCTTTCTAAGGTTCAGGGCCTCTTCCTCCAGTACTGGACTCTCACTCAGCAGCAGAGGCTCTTCTTTAGGTGTAGGACTCTTCCTTAGGTGCAGGAGCTCTTCATCAAGTGTGGGGGCTATCCCCCAGGAGCAGAGGCTCTCCTTCAGTTGCAGGACATCTTCTATGTTCAGAGATTCTCCCTTAGTTGTAGGAGTTCTCTCTCTGGTGTGGGCAGTCTTCCTCAAGTGTGGGGACATTCCCTAAGGGACAAGGTTCTGTCTTCATTGCAGGGTCTATTTATCAGGCACTGGGGTTCTCTCTTAGGTGCAGGGACTCTTCACAAAGTACAGAGTCCTGTCTCATATTCAGGGGCACTTCTTCAGTAGGTGAGTCTGCCTCAGGTACAGGGGCTCTTCTGAATTCTTTTCAGTTGCAAGGTATAGAGTTCTTTCACGGGTGCAGGGTTCTCTCTCAGGTACAGCGGATCTCCCTCGAGTTTAGTGCTCTTCGTCAGGTGTAGGGCTCTCTCTCAGTGTCAGTAGGGCCTCTCTTAATTGCAGGGACTCTTCTTCAGTGCAGGGACTGTCTTTCAGGGGCAAGCCTCTTTCTTCAGTTGGGGGCTCTCCACCAGGTGCAGGGGCTCTCCCCCAGTTTCGGTCCTCTTCCTCAGATGCAGGAGCTTTTCCACAACTGTTAGTCTCTCTCCCACATGCAGAAACTCTTCAGCAGGTGCTGGGTTTTCCCTCAGGTTCAGGACTTTCTCTTAGGTGCAGGACTCTGTCTCAGGTTCAGAACTCTTCATAAACTCTTAATAAGATTATGGGTTCTTCTTCAGATGCAGTAGGGCTCCTTCAGGTGGAGGGACTCTCGTTTATGTGTAGGGGCATGTCTTTAGGTGGAGGGATCTCCCCCAAGAGAAGGGACTCTTTCAGTGCAGGGTCCCTTCATTAGGTACAGAGCTTTTTTCCTAGGTGTAGGGGCTTTTCATCAGGTGCTGGACTCATTCCAGGTGTAGCAGCTCTCCCACAGGTACAGAAATTCTGCTTCAGGTGTAAGTCTCCCCCTCTAGTTGCAGGGGCTCTTCATAAGGTGCTGGGCTTACTCTCAGTTGCAGGGCTCTACCTCTAGTGCAGGGCTCTTTCTCAGATCCATAATTCTTTTTCAGGTACAGGGTTCTCCCTCAGGTGCAGGGATTCTCCCTTAGATAGATGGGCTCTTCATCATGTATCTGGGGGCACCTCTTCAGGTGCAAGGCTGTCCCTTAGGTTGAGGGTTTTTTTTCCCAGGTTCAGGAGCACTTCCCTAGGGGCCAGGTCTCTCCCAAGTATAGGGAATTTTCAAAAGG